GACATGAGCGGGGTCGGGGAAACAAGGCAAGAGAGGAACAAGGAACAAGATCGCTGGAAGTTCATAGACGTGGCTGATGAAAATCTGGCAAAGGACTGGAGGCTGGAGCTGAGTTATATACTGACATGAACAGGTGAGTGGAATGAGCTGATTAGGTTTTCAGTAACGGGAGGGGCAGAGGCAATGAGCAGGGTCAGACTGACAGGAGCAGGAAATGGGCAAAACAAGGGCAGACAGGAGCAGGATCATAACATTTTGTGCCACTTACAAAACTCCCTACTGCCTTTGAAACTGCTCAGTTAATGATTAATCATGTTTTTCGCCTCCACGGGATCCCCAATGATGTGGTCTCTGATTGTGGACCACAATTTATCTCTCAAGTCTGGAAGGCTTTCTGCCGAGCTCTCAGTGCCTCTGTAAGTCTCTCCTCTGGTTTTCACCCACAATCCATTGGCCAAACAGAAAGAAGTAATCAAGAACTGGAAGATGTCATTCGCTGTGTGGCAAATCAAAATCCATCATCCTGGTCTTCACACTTGCCTTGGATTGAATAAGCCATTAATACTCATGTGTCTGCCGCCACAGGTCTCTCTCCTTTTGAAGCTTCTGTGGGTTTCCTTCCGCCCTTATTTCCCAGTCAAGAGTCGGAGATCACAGTTCCATCCGTGCAACATCATCTTCAGAGATGTCGACGAGCATGGAGACAGACAAGGGAGGCTCTGTTCAGGAATAAAGAACAAAACAGGAGGTTGGCAGACAAACACCGGACCTCCGCTCCTCAGTATGTGGTGGGACAAAAGGTATGGCTATCCACACGCAACATCCCCTTAAAGGAGCAGTCCAAAAAGTTGGCACCTAGATTCATTGGCCCTTACCCCATTACTAAGATCATCAATCCCACCTCTGTTAAGCTTCAACTCCCTAGCTCTACGCGCATCCACCCCACATTCCACGTGTCCCAGCTGAAAGTTTTTGTCGAGAGTCCGTTAAACCCACATCCTAACCTCCCTCCAGCCCCCGCCTCATTGATGACCACCCTGCATACACTGTTCGACGAATCCTAAATGTTCRTCGTAGAGGCCGGGGACTCCAGTTTTTAGTCGACTGGGAGGGGTATTGTCCCGAAGAGAGGATTTGGATCCCGAGATCTTAAATTTTGGATCCTTCTTTGATTAGTGATTTTTTTAGAGATCACCCTGAAAAACGTTGTTAGATCGCCTGGAGGCGATTTTTGAGGGGAGGGCTCTGTGGAGGTTTGCTGCTGCTGTTACCTGACTAATTGTTTTGCTGTTCATTGAGAGTTCGGTGGGCAGAGACTGGATGGACTCACCTGTGCATTGTCTGCTCTGATTAATCCTGAGAGTATTTCAGTCGCCTTCTGAGATCCATCCGACGCTGGATTATTCAGTTGCCCACGGTACTGTTTAAGACGGCTTCATTTTAATTCTTTGAGAAAACTGATTAACCCTTGTTGTATTTTTTTTCTACACCTACCTTGTGTTCAGGCTGGACTGTCCTGATCCTCCTGGTGACTCCACAGTTGGTCCTTATCCAGACTGTTGGATTTTTCACTTCAAGACTGAAGTGATTCATCGTCCTCCACCCTGCCTCTCTCTCTCTCTCTGAAAGCTGCAAGAAACATATTGGAAAGTACCTGTGTTTGATTCCCAACAAAGAAAACTTCGACAAACCTCCTCGTCCTGGTCAGCCTCCTCGCCTGGATCCTCAAGAAACTTGGACCCATTCACTGTACAATAAACTCACTTACCTTTTATCATTTTTTGTGTTGTCCTGTGTTCCTCACCAGTTAAGTTAATTTTGGGTACTCTTTAAAAGAACAAATCTTAACAGGTCAGGTGATTGACTTGGCCAGTCTAAAACCTTCCACTTTTCCCCCTCATAAATTATTTTGTTTTGCTGGCAGTGTGTTTTGGGTCATTGTCCTGGTGCATGATAACATTACTTCAGATTAGTTTGGGTACATTTCTCTGGAAATTGGCAGACAAAATGTTTCTGTACGCTTCAAAATTCATTCTACTGCTGCCATCATCAGTTCCATCATCAATAAATATTAATGATCATTTTCCAGAAGCAGCCATGCACGCCCAACCATGATATTACCTGTACCATGCTTCAAAGATGAGTTTGTGTGCTTCAGATCATCAGCAGTTCCTTTCTTTCTCCACACTTTGGCCTTTCCATCACTTTGGTAGAAATTAAGCTTGGTCTCATCAGTCCATAGGATTGTCTTCCAGAACTTTTGCGGCCAATCTCTGTACTTTTTTGCAAATTTCAATCTGGCCTTCTGATTCCTATTACCGATGAATGGTTTGCATTTCTGTGTAAGGCCTCTACATTTCTGCTCTCTGGGTCTTCTTCAAACAGTGGATTGTGATACCTTCGCCTCTGCACTGTGGAGGTTATTGGTGATGTCAATTACTGATGTTTTGGTATTTTTCTTCACAGCCTCTCACAATATTTCTGTCATCAACTCCTTGGCTGACCTGTTAGACTTCTCTTGCTCAGTAGACCAGCAGTTTCTTTCTGATTCAGGACATTCCAAATTGTGCTCGCTATGCTCAATGTTTTTCAATGATTGATTTTCCCTTTTTATAGCTTCAAATTGATGCTTTTCGCACATAGACAGCTCTCTGGTCTACATGTTTCTTTAATGAGAAACACTTACTTTTTAGGTTTATAGTTACCAGGCCAAAAGTAGACTATTCATGCAGAACTATTTAATGTTTGAACAATCAATCTTAAAGGCAACACCTGGTCAGTAAGAAGCACCTGTCAGTCACATGTTCCATTACTGTTACTCACCTGAAAATGCTGTGGTGCGCCCTGGGGGCCCGGACCTCTGTGCCCTTTCCTGGATCTGCTCTGGTATGGCGGGTGCCGGTGGGGCACATGAGTTTGTCGCTGCTGGCCCCGGGGGCTGTGCATGTGGTCGCTGGGGGACTCTCCCAGTTCTCCCCTATGGTCTGATCTGGGGGGCGGGTGGGCGGATCTTCCCGTGCGGGTGCCCCTTGGGGCTCTGCGCTCGGGATCCCTCTCGGGCCCTTGGGCTCTGGTCTTCCCTATGTCTGCCTCGTGTCTTGAGGGTTGGGTTTCCGATCCTCCACAGWCACTATTAAATATTCCATCGGAGAAATCTTGTATATACATGCATGTTCACAACTGCTCACAAACAGGTGCTCTGATCCGGGGGGTTCTGACTGGTCGCTGAGTGTGTATATATGTCTGTGTGTATATACTGACAATATTTATGAATGTAGGCTTTTAAGTATGTATATCTTTATATACTGTATGTATGGGTATGTGCATATTTTTATATATGCCCTCCATGTATTTTTCTATTTACTTTTCAGGTGAGTGGACAGATATTGGGTGTGTGGTCCTGTGCTTTGTTGGTGTGTATTTAATAATACTTCTAATCGCTATTTCAATCTTTCTATCTTTCTAATTACTTCTCTCTTTTTCTCTCTGTCTCTATTTTCTCTTCACTTAAAAAAAGAAAAAAAAGTCACTGATGATGAAGAAATAAATAAACTAATATATATATTTCTCTTCACTTAAAAAAGTCACTGATGATGAAGAAATAAATAAACTAAATAAACTAATATTTGGTTTCATATTCTGATGAAGTGACACCAAAAAAAAAAAGATATATCCTAAGTTGTTTAACACATCTACATGTAAATACCAGGAAATAAAAGCTGAACTCTTGTCTCATGCTCATCTTTTGACCTTAAACTCAAATGTCTTCAGTTTAAAACAAAAATAATGGAATTTGACTTGCTCTTCCAGTACTTTTGGAGGGGACTGGATATTTACCTGAATAGTTCTGTTGCATTTGTTCATGTAACAGTTTATCTATCACAAGCTGATGGCCATTCAAAAATCTGGCATGAAAGGTATGAACTATGAGTATGAGCTAATTCTAGTTTGGTTAAATACCATCATAAAATGGTGATAAAAATAAACAAAATTAGTTTCTACTTTTGTTCTTTCTAAATGTAATTAGTCTGCTACTTGCAGTCTTTGATGAGTTCATTACTTATCGGTTTCCAGCTTGAATTATCATTGCAGTGCAACATTGTTGGAAGATAACCCAGAGGTAAATCCAGCATTTCATCAGCAAGCTACAAACCCTGCCTCATAATGTTGTCCCTTTTTATAACTCGATACACTTTTATCAGGCAGTAGATGGATCAAAACACAAGTCTTCTGTGCAGAGACACAATGTAACCAGAGATAGTGTCTCTCTGTACTGAAGGTCACACTATTAACACACCTCTTATACACAATGTTCATATGCATCCTCTTTGTAAGGTCACAAGCAGCAAGACCAAATTGTACAGGTACTTTGTCTCTGTTTACATTAGTTTTATTATTAAGGCTTCTATATCACTGCAACTCACTTGTAGTGCCATGTATTGACACAAAAGGTTTGTTGCCTGATTTCAAAAGGTTTGTTAACCTTATCAGAAGAAAATAATGTAACCTATATCCATACAGTTTTCTAAATCATGGCTCCAATAAAGACAACATATTTTACCCTGTTAGACATCATACAAGTACTAATGAGAAACTGAATGCATTATATTTTTGGAGAAGAACTTAAAACAGTTCAGGACATGTTTACTTTGTGTTCTTTTCATCTGATCAAATAAACTGATTAAAACTAATTTGCTCTGGAATTCTGTAAATTGACATATTGAATAAATTTTGTAACTGGTTAATTGAATATTAGATTCAATTTTGTATTTTATACTTTCTGATCATTTCAGTCTGTAAGGTTGAAGCTGACAAAGAGTTGGTGTGTTATCATGTGTTCTTTCTCTTAGTGTAAACAAAAATGAGTGACATTCTAACGTCTGACGTAAAAGGTAACACCTCCTGGGGAGTAACCAGAAAGAGATGTACATTATAAGCTGAATTCATTATTATAGCAGAAAGAAGTTGTCAGTGTTTTGCAGAGTGTCTGCTCAGAGCAGAACTCCCATGTTTGTTTTGATTTGGCCCAAGGTTGTACGCTGTGGCCTGTGCTGCTGAGCGCTGAATGTACCTGATTGGAGTCAGAAGATAATAAATTTTTAAAGAAGAAATCCAACTGAATCCTGTTTATTCGGACATACACTTTGGAACAACGCATATTTTTCCAACAATTTGGTGACTTCCCCGACGTGATGTGTGATCTTGAATAAGCAGAGAACAATGAATTTTATTTTTGGCTGTTAAAGAACCTGAGAAGATTTTTGAAACATCAACTGCTGAGAGTGAGTACAGAAAAGCTTCAAGATGCCTCCTATGTTTTCCAAAGAGGATTTCTGCCAGCTTCTCCAAAAGATGACAGTGTTGGAGCTCAAGATTCATTGGGCCTCATGCAAGAACATGTTCGTATTCTTATCCTAAATTTCTCTTACTTTTGTTCGTATGAAGGTTTGTACGAACATGTCACGTCAGATTCAACAAACTCTTCTATCTTCAGGAAAAATGTGTAAATGAGCTGCGTAAATTCCACCTGTTCTATCCAGCTGCTAGTGCACGCGAGAGGAGATTAGCATAATAA